TATGGAACAGTAACAGATCAAATTAGACCACCTATAAAAGTAACTGGCATTGTAATAAACATAGGAAGACCCATGATGTCGGTACTTAGGAAAAGAATAATAGATTACTTCAGTCTTAGATAATATTATGCCAGACAATTAAATAACAGTGATAGCACACACACACACACACACACACACACACACACACACACATCAGAGTTCAATTATTCTGTGTACCCACTCCTATAGTTATTATCAATTTCTCATAAATACTTTGGTGTCCATTGTTATTTTTTGAATTACAATAAAATAATGTGTCACTCATTGTGTCCCTGCCTGTACATCCTTCCAAGAGAACCTGCTTCCTCCTGCAGGTGGTACCTAAAATATGGGCCTGGAGGGCCATATTTGCTCAGATTTTCTTATCGTGTTGGCCTCAACGGATTGGGCCAGGATAGACACACCTTCTTCAAGGAGAATCAATCAGATTTCTTCTTACTCTTAAAAAAAAAAAGGACCTAAGAAAAATGGATGAGAAAGTTGGTGTGTGAGTGATGGTAATGGTAGTGAACTAGAGAAGACCACTAAGTTCTGCCTGTGAGCCCTGCCGAGCTGGCCAATTCACCGCCCCCATAAGGCCTGGTGTGCATTGGATTTGCTTGGTTTAATGATCTTTACAATAAATCACAGTTTGACTTTAGCTTAGATTGAATAGGTTTCTGTTTTGTGACACTAGATGTGGCCTCGATTTTCAAAGAAAAGGATAATAATTCTTTTTTTAAAAATATATTTTATTGATTTTTTTTTTACAGAGAGGAAGGGAGAGGGATAGAGAGTTAGAAACATTGATGAGAGAGAAACAGCGATCAGCTGCCTCCTGCACACTCCCTACTGGGTATGTGCCCACAACAAAGGTACATGCCCTTGACCGGAATCGAACCTGGGACCCTTGAGTTCTCAGGCCAACGCTCTATCCACTGAGCCAAACCGGTAGGGCAGGATAATATTCTTACAATATAATTGCATGGCATGGTTTAAGTTAAAATTACAGTAAAGTTAAAGCAGTAGTAGTCAAACCAATATGCTCATGGATTTTTTAAGCTAATGGAACCCTTTACAAATGCCAATGAGGACATTTTGAAAGCCCAGGAGTCCTGTAAAAACTGCTGATGTCTGAGCTTTCTCTGTTGTTTGAAAAAGGTCTTAAGATACACCTTACTTTCTGAAACTTCAGTGCTGCTTCTGACTATCATGATTCCAAACCATGACTAACATTTACTTGTTTTCAAAGTCAGCACTTCATTGGCTGTTATTGTGAAGAAATCCTAAGGTCTGTCTGTGTTGGAGACTTTGGTTGGTGTTTTGTGCCCTAATCCTATTTCCCCTACCTCTCCCTGTGGGGACCTCAACCAAAGGAGTGTGAGCACCGGAACAAGAACTGGGTGGGACGACACCAGGTGCTCTACACACAGCTGGGCATGTGCTCGTTGCCCCTCAACATGCAGGGCTTCTTCATGCTAAAATGGAGCCCAATGGAAGTGTGACTCAGACCATGAAATCCAAGCAGAGCTTCCTGCTCTGCTCCCCTCCAGTCAGGAGTGCCAGTCACTTAGCAGCAGGAACCTGGTGGAAAAGCTGGAGCAGAGACTACAGCCATGAGCACACATCACCTTTCAAGGCAGTGGCTCTGCTGCTGAGTGAGCAACATTCTTCCCAGTGGATGTCCAGCCCTGACCAATCAGATAATCAGCTGCTTCTCCAATAGGTGAGAATCTAGGACAGTGGTTCTCAACCTTCCTAATGCCGCGACCCTTTAATACAGTTCCTCATGTTGTGGTGACCCCCAATTTCATTGTTACAAATTGAACATAATTAAAGCATAGTGATTAATCACAGAAACAATATGTAATTATATATGTGTTTTCCGATGGTCTTAGGCGACCCCTGTGAAAGGGTCATTGGACCCCCAAAGGATCTAGGAAGAAAGAGATGAAGGCAGAGTTTCTCCTCTTCAGGGGCGCTGGGAAACATCGAGCCCATCCCCAGCCGGCTGTACTTCCCAGCATGAACATGAACTATGTATCTGTGAACCACTGTAGGATGACCCGGAGGCTCTAGGAGAGCCACCCCTAGGAGAACAGAGCAAATTGATCTTAATCACCACACTACGACCACACATCTGTCCCAGATTAATATACAGCACAGAATCATATCAAGAGTAAAGAACAGTAGCCCCCCACCTCCCCTTAGCCATGGTTTCACTTTCCAACATTTCAGTTACCTGTGGTCAACTGTGGTCTGAAAATATTAAAAGAAAAATTCCAGAAATAAAGCAATTTGTAAGTTTTAAATTGCATGCCGTTCTGAGTAGCATGATGAAATCTCAAACCATCCTGCTCCGTCTCATCAGGGACATGAATCACCCCTTTGTCCTCAGTCTCCACTCTGTATACACAATCCCCACATCCCCCTTTGTCATTTAGTAGCTTCTCACTTATCGAATCTACTGTCCGGGTGTCCCATGGCCGGTGTTCAAGTAATCCTCATCTGACTTCATAATGGCCCCAAGTGCAAGATAGTGATGCTGGCAATGTGGACAGGCCACAGAGGACCTGAAAAGGGCTTCCTTTTAGTGAGAAGCTGTATACAGGGTACAGTACAGTAAGATATTAAGAGAGAGAAAGACATTTACATAACTTTTATTACAACATCTACACTTATAAAAGACAAACATGCAAATTGACCGTACCTTTGCTACGCCTTAAGCCACGCCCACCAGCCAATCAGAGCGACTATATGCAAATTAACCCAACCAAGATGGCCGCTGGCAACCACAGAGCTGGAGCAAGCAGGAGGCTTGGTTGCCCCAATAATGGAGGAAGCCAAGCTTCCCGGCCGGCTGCTGCCTCCTCTCAAGACAACAAAGTTTCAATTATAGAAGGTAAATAAACCTCAGATACCTGCTTCCAGTCGCCATGGCCACGGAGCTGGAGCGAATAAAAAATTTAAAAAAAGGAAAGGCTGGGAGCTTCAGTCGCCAGGGGGCTTGGTCAGTCTGAAAACAGCCATCAGCCCCTCACCCAGGCTGGCCAAACCCCCATGGGGTGAGGGTCCCCACTGGGGGGCTTGACCAGCCTGCAAACAGCCATCAGCCCTTCACCCAGGCTGGCCAGGCACCCCAGCGAGACCCCCACCCTGATCCGGGACACCCTTCAAGGCAAACCAGTCGGCCCCCACCCGTGCACCAGGCCTCTATCCTATATAGTAAAAGGGTAATATGCAAATTGACCCTAACAGCAGAACGACTGGGAATGAC